GCTCAGGAGCTGAGGAAGTCAGAGTTGGTCTGTGTACGCCCCACAACACGCGGAGCTTCTGCCACAAACAAAGTTTTGGGTGATTTTTGCATTTTGCAGAACTGCTGCATGTCCACTTTAGAGTTTTCTCACCCACAGAGCCCCACACCCACCGCTACTGAACTGCCTGTTTAGGGTTCATTAACATAACAACATCAGCATTCACACCAATGATTGGAGCGAGACTTGGCTGCGTCTACACTAATCCGGATAAATTTGAAAATGGTGTTTTTGTCTAAAAACGCTCCGCACTATTGTTTTCAATGGTTTCTGAACAGCTGTTCATCCACACTGAAACGACTGAAACGCTTACGTTCCTGTACTGCGCATGCATGAAACGTAAGATGGTTCGACCTGCGTGATTTCCATCTGCCGTTTATTTACTTTCCGGCTCTTTTAAACGTCGCGGCAAAATGTTGAGGAGAAGCACCGAGTTTTTTAAACGGACTAACAATGAGGCGGAGTCGTTGCTGCGAGTAACACAAAAGTACAAAGTAACAAAAGCGAGTGAGAATCAAGAATGTGAAGAAATCTGGAGCATGTACAGACCTAATCTTTAATAGAGCTGTCAAACAAAACAACTGCTGTATAATGCCCTCCACCATCCTAGGTCACATGACTGCATCACATGACTACAATGCGTCAACATTTTCGAAAGGCTCCGTTTTAGCAGTCTACACTAAGACGCGGAAACAGCGTTTTCAAATGTATCCATTTTGGAGAGCGTCTTCAAAAAGCTCAGGTTTTCCTTCACCAAAACTCCGCCTCAGTGTGGACACGGCCTTAAACATCTGTTGGTATCAGCCTCACACACTGCTTTGGCCTTTTTACATCAGGTCTGTATGTCTGTGTTAAAATGTTCCCTCTGCTGTGTTCAGTGCTGGCAGGAAGCGAGAAGTACTTGACTTTGGAGCAGTGCAAGAGCCTGGTGGTCCTCATGGATGTATCCTTAAAAAACATACAAGAGTGTGACACAGGCAGACGAACTGTGTGATGAGAGTGTTTGCAGTACTAGGTAATATGTCATAACCACAGCATGAAGTTTTTCTCTTTGTGAACATTTCCAAACAATTCCAAATTAGTGTTCATAGTTAAAAAGAGGGAAAAAAA